GTCACCAAAATTGTTCCAGATTTGCAAGAACTAACCGTTCTCCTTTCTCCTAATAAACTTAAAATAAAATAACTTTACATATAAAATTCCAAAAGCGTCATATTTATTATAAAAATCCGTAGAACTCCAAGAAACTACAACAAAAAATCAGATGGTTGCCACTCTTGCAGTGACAAACTATGAAAAGAAAAATAACAAATGAGGCTGAGTTCTAACACATACGTTACTGTATCCATTCCATCAAAGTTACAAGTGAAAAATTACTTAATGTACCCATTTCATCAAAATTATGTATGACAATTACATTAATTCATTCCGAAAAATAATCAATTACTTTAGTTTGTTTTGATTGTCGAGAAGAACATTTGATATCATAGTAAGTCTCACGTATTTGTAATGCACGGAAAATGACTTCTGGTACGCTTTCTTCAAGCTGAAACCCGAGTGGCAAAATATCAAACGCGTTTAATATAACTTCTGGCGAAGACTGTGTACATTAATTTTAACTAACTAACTTTTCATATCCTTTATTATTATTATCAATCGTTTTCAGGCTACTTAGCCCTTTTAATTAAGAATTCTAGGGCTCTCAGCATCGTTATCTATAAATAACCAATCTTGGAATTGTTCTTTAATTGTCCTTGATTTTTTTAGCTACAACCACATATTATCCAGTTCCTCATCTTACCCATTGTCGTCATTGACATCACTTTTACTAATATTAATATCAGTCTTCGTGATAAAGCCAACTTTTTTGAAGCAAGAGCGAACAGGGCGAGATTTTTTATACATCATACTGAGGTGTGCAGTCACGTGAACTTATTATATATAAAGACTGATTAGTTTTAATTCCCATCAGTTCCTTCTTCAGAATTCTTTAGTGACAGTGTGGACTTTTTATCACCCCTTGATTCATAGACTGCTGTTTTGCAATGGCATATACTAGAAAGAAAAAACTTGACATTTTTATACTTGTCTTTGATATCTTGAGAAGGAGCGCTGCAACTTTCTATCACCTGCAGGATTTTTCATTTCTGTACAGCCATGTATTTATCTAAATGTTTTATTCCCTTTTTTAAAATGCCTAAGGTAGACCGTGAGATTACTGAAATCATAATGTAATTCCAGTGATTTAATACCTCTCCTTTCTTATCTGACTGATCAAGCTTCGACTTGATCTGGACAAATCACTAGAAAATATTTGTTTAACCCACACCATTCAAAGTCAGCGCCATCGATTATAATTAGAAAACTTTTCTCTTACTATTTCTAAATAATCATTCGTTTCATTCTTCATCGGCACATTACTTAATGGTGAAAATTTATTCCGCTGAAGATTTCAATCGAATTTCAAATGAGTGTTTTCTGCAGGGCAATTTTTTCCAATTATTTCCAGGTTCTTCTTTCTATACTTTCGGTCTTTCTTGCCTCGATTCTCTCTAAACCTAGCGAGTCGGTTATATTATTTTCCTTATTCTCCATGCTACCCATAATTGTAGCTTATGTGGAATGCATTTTTACTATGTTTAGGGACTTTTACATCTCCAAGTCTTTAGAGTTATCTTGATAATCTCTAGTTGCACATATTCTGGCATAAATTTAAATGCTGGATCGTTGACTGCTACTTCAATAGCGTTCTTATATTATTCCTCCTTGTATTTACACTCTGGATTCAAGGATTTACTGAAATATTGTCCGAGCTTTTTTCTCTTGACCATTTTTCGGTGCAGAATAGGTTCACTTTCCCTTCTTTTTCTTTTTTGTTGCAGTTTTTGTCTTAGAATGTTTTATCGGTTGTTTGACAGAATCTTCCAATTTTTTAATTTCATAAAATTTCTGATAAACAGAAAATGGGTTCAGAATCTTCCTACATTTCTTCCTTATCCTCAGCTCTCAGATTAAAGCCATCGTTCAAAAGAGTTATGAACTTATCCACAGAAACAAAAAATTCAGCTACTACTCAAATTCAAAATTTTCGAAGATATATGAAAAGCTGTAATACTAACTCTTTCAAATTTATTTTTCAAATCGCTGCAGCTAGCTATTCACATAAATACTAGTTAATACGGAAATCAAATAATGAATATTATATTTAATAAAAGAAAATAATTTTTGAAATAAATTAAAAGCACTTTAAAATAGAATAATGCCCGGAACTTCACCCTGTTAAACAGAAGTTGAAGTTAGAAATTATAATTTTAAAATTAAACCTAGGTTAAAAGTATGTATCATTTAAATAAAACTAAATATTATTGTAATTAAGAAAAAAGAAATTAAATGCCAACTGGAAGGCTTTTTATTACTGCTTAATATCTACGTGATATAATTAATTTTTAAAAAGCTAGGGTTTTTTGCTTTGGCCTAAGAAGTAAGCGATGAACTCTGTACACTTCTCAAGTATTCCTAGTTGTCAAAGACAACCACTTTAGCTAGAACCTGACCCATTTTCTGTTGATGTAAATCCTTTAAAATTATGATGCCTTCTGCTTAGAGCTCATGCCATCATGCATTCAGTGTTGATAAATGAACGCTCAAATGTGTATGAATGAAATTTTATCCTTAGAAAAATTAAATGGAAACAATCAAGATAACGCGTATCTGCAATATCCTATTTCTCAAATCCGCATTCTGAATGCCAAAACATTCGTGAAAGATACCAGAAGGCTGCGGTTGACGATAATGCATGTTGTCACTGGTTTCGGGCGGTAAGTGAGACAGAAGCTGCAAAAACGGTCACGTTTCATACAATTATCAGTATTTTCTAAGCAGATTCTGGACCATACCATATTAAATACCTACATCCAACTGTTGAGGAATTAGCAGAAATATTACCAGAACACACATGCTCGCCCATGAGTTCATTACACAGTTGAATTTTTGGGTTCTGCATCATTTCGCGGAATTGATGAGAGACAGCACCTATGTTTTCTTCTTATTTGATTAGAGAAATAAACCATTTTAAGGATGTTTTTGGTTTGGTTTAGTTAGTTATGGCAAAGCACGCTAGGGCTATCTGCCTAACAGAAGGAATGCTTTCGTGGGGAACTTTCTCGTTACACATGCGGAAAAACACGAAAACGCCCATGGAATAGAACCCTGGGCGGAACTACCAGTGTTCAGCGATTTCACTGCTCCACCGCCTGGACGGCCTCATGTTTCAAATGAACTGTAAGTGGTGATGATTACTACTCTAATGGAATGTCAAACGTCGAAGAAAAGTGTGTAGCAGAACGTTCACCATCCACTTGAAAAGGACAAAAACTGATAAATACGCAGCCAGCTTATACCAGTCACGAAGATTTTCAACAAAATCCTATTTTTCAACATAATAATGCTACACCTTATACTGGTTTAATTACTCGAAAAAAAATTGTTCGACTTTTATTAAGAAGTTTCAACACGGGTTCTGCTCTTTCCGACTGCCACCTGTTTCGAAACTACATTTAAAACTTTGATGACAGAAATTTTGAACATACCTAATAAAGTACAATGCTTAGAGTTAATTATGTAATTTTATATAGGATTTTTGAAGCACTGCAATTGATTTAGTATTTAATTTCTAACCTCTGACCCTCTGAACCTTCTGATTTAGTATCCTGCTGACCTTGTATCAAAAATGCTGCAAAAAGATTTTTCATACTTTCTTGCAACTTGCAATTAATTACCCATGAAACACGTGATTTGCAAGAAGAAGAGATTTATATGAAGAAGACAGTTATATTTCTGAAAACATTAGCTGGGGCATAGAAACGCTTCAAAATTATACTCATCGTTTACCTTCTAAAATCCCAAATAAGAATTACTAAATTAGAGGAGCGAAAGAAATGAATTCTGAGATTAATTTTCCAAGACACCAAATATCAATAGTTATAAAATGTCATTCTTGGTTTAACATATGCGTATTTTCTCTAATATTGGAAAATAAATGCCAAACTTTCAAACGTAACTTGCAAAATGCTAAATAGTTTTAAACAGTTTCTCCAGATATATAATTGTAATAAATAAAGGAGAAGATATTATTGACACTAGAAAGCAAACTTCTGTGCTGACGTATTTAATGAAATTAATGGAAGTTAGTGGAATTTTAAGACTTGGAAAAGCAACTAGTAAAATTAACTATGCTATCTGTATATAAGATTCTAATTGTTGCAAAAAATTTAGATAAGAATAGTTTATTTCAATCCAGACTTTAGAAATTTTAGAACAGCAGAACTTTAGAAAAAGGTTGCCGTCTTTTGTCTTAATTTGTCAGCGTGTAGTATATTTAAAACCCGTTTCACAGACAAGTTTACTTTAAACAAAATTACTTTGACTTCACAAAATCAGGACATTATTAAAGATATACCATGAACTTTTACCATACTTTTAGAAAAAATGAACCGTAAGAGAAAAAGAAAGATAACTGATAATTATCTGCAAAACTTTATATAACAAATACTTTATTTCTCCGTAAATTTCCAATTTGATACCTTTCATATTCGTTTAACTTATATGAGGTAAAAACAATATGCATTTTTATCATAATTAGCCGTATTTTATACATTAAATGAAACATCTAAAGTTAAAAATTATATACGTGTTAAAAGTAGCTACGATAATTTCAAATTTCACACTATTAAAATTGATTTTAAAATTTAATGCGTATTATTATTTACTACTTATCATTTTCCCAAAATAATGTTTATTTTTCCACATATACAAACAAAAGTGATGATTTTCTTAAATTCATATCTAAACGTGAATTAACTCTCATTATATTTTTAATGAGTTCAACAGAGTTTTCTAGCATTCAGAAGAGTACATTCTCTTTTAAAATGATCTGCTTAAATAAAATCATACAATCAGCTAATAATTGCTAGATCTAAAATTAGTTGGCCTTTCCTAATTAGGATAAAAATTAAACAAAAGTTAATAAAGTTTTGTACAAGCCATTGAACGGCTATGAATGATTTCATTTCAGAATACTAAACAGCAAAACTTAATAAAAACAGTAAAAGTACCTGATACTTTTCTCCAAGAAATCTTAGGTTCAGGTGAACCGGAAGCTATGCAATTGATGTTTATAGCATCTCCGACCTTAGTTATGATACTTTTTGGCTCTTCTTCCCATTTCGGAGGCGCTGGAAAATTATGAATGATCCAAAAAATGTACTACACAATTAAATTTATTAGATTAATTTTTAAACAAAGCATGATTTTAAATTTGGTCTCAGTTTATTTTTAAGAATCCTTTTCCTAAACACAAAAAGTGCTATCTTCATGACAGATATTAAATTATAAAATATTCAGAAACGAGTTAATACTAGCTAAGGAAAAATGAGATATAAATATTTATTAAATGATTAAAGATGTGGGTATTATTGATTTTCATAAAAAATCTTGCGAATAAATTTCCTTAATATTGAATAAAATCTCTGGCTTTCAGACTACATTTTTTTTGTTCTCAGCTTATTTAGAAAAGATATTAAACAAAGTCATGAAACGAATTTTAAAGTAAAGTTTGGTACTTTCTTATTATAGCGGCCCCCAAAATTTAATCGCTAATCAACCGAGATGTAACATTTAGAGAGGTATAAGAAAACGTGGTAAGACTTCAGCGAGATATGTCCCTTGATTAGCGATTCAGTGTTGGGAGGCGCTATAAGAAGGAAGTGCCAGTTTAATATATACTAATTTTGGAGATTTTCACAGTTACTATAGAATACATAAAAATGTAATGCACGTGTTATAAATGCAAAATCCAATAGCTCTTACTTCCACACCAGTGAAAATAAAATAGTCTAACGATTTAATTGATAATCAATCATAAGGAAATAAACAATACTGCAGGTAATTTATATGCTTTATTTAACTTAATTAAGCGTGCTACATTTAATACATTTTGAGCTGTGAAGTAAGAGCTACTGGCTACAAGGCAATAGACAGAAATGTCTGTCAAATATTTTGCTTTTAAGAGACAATTTTTTTAAATGTTTAATATTCGAGCAATTAATTAAATAATTATATACTCAAGCAGAATTCCGCATTAGAACCCGAGTTAACTGCACAAAAAACTCAGTGTTTCATTACATTTTTAGTAATCCTACCCTTAAAAATTCTTATTATAATTTGATTCTTGAAGAAATAACGTGGCATTTCTCTCAACACGCAGCTATTAAAATAACATTTATATAGATTATGCAGATTCGGACAATATGTTACTAGTGGTCATATATTCTAGGAACTTTTGCCAGATTGCAAATTAATTCAACACATACTTTTTAGCTCAGAAATTAAAAGTAGCTTACATTTCTCGAGAGAGGGAAAAACAAGAATTAAGATATTCTACATTGCTTTCATTAAAATGATATTAGATGAAGAGATGAAAATTTATCAGCATCAAATTAAATGCATGAAGGACATTTTAGTGTACTTCTTCATCAATATCTTATTTGAGAATATTTATTTAAAATGATGCTATGGTTATTTTGAAATGTTCAATAGAATTAATGATTTATTTTATTAGAGGAAACGGTTTTGCGTTTTAACACGCCTTTTGAGAATATATACGTTTTAACTTTAGATATACCACATTTTATAAGTTGTTCATTGCAAATGTTGACCAATAAGAAAAACCAGCGAAAGGGTGATCACACTGCAATGAATGATATCTAGTCTAGTAAGTATAATACATTACAAATATGCATGTATGGTATTATAAAAGTTATGTAAAATAACAATTTACGTAAATTTTAAACCATGTTTCAAGAATTTATTATTTTCCACATACCTTTTACATGCAACTGGGCTGTAAATCTATCACTTCCAGCTGCATTTGAAGCAATACAAGTGTAATTTCCATAATCGGAGAACTGCACCGAATCGAATACTAGCACAGAATGACTAGTTCCATCTTCGATTCGGGCAGTTTTAGCATAATCGGATATAGGTTGGCCGTTCTTTTCCCATTGAAACTTTACAGGTTTAACAGCAGAAGTTGCTAAACACATCACTGATGCTACATCACCTTCTTTAATATTATCTTCAAAATTGAATTTCTTGATTTTAGGACTATCTATAAAATACATTAACTGCTATAAAATTATATGTATATATATATTCCATACATACATATTAATCTTTCAATGTTAAATTCAAAATCATGTACATTAGATTCGCACTATTAAAAATGAGTATGTTTGGTGTTTTAGGATTATTCATGTAACATCAAATTATTATGGTGGAACTGCTAAAATTTCATTGATAATTTATTTAAAATGAGCATTTTTAGGCCCTTTACTACTACTTTTATGTTAATAGTGGTAAAGCCCTTAACTATGGTAGTATTATCCCTCAATTGAAATATTTAGAAATTTATAATTAAGCAGGTTTCCAAAATGAAAGTTAAATTTTTATAAACATTTGATATCAGCTGAAAATTTATAGATAAATTTAACAATAGAGTAAAAAAGAAAGGTCTGAAATTTTAAATGAAGTTTCAATTTCAATACCATTACTAAAGTGAACTTTTAATAGAACAACCTAGATTTTCTTAAATAAAATAGGTGAATTAATGTTTTTCTTGCAAGTTAAAGGAGAGAAGTAATAATATATTTAAATATCAAGGCAGAATTGCAGTTTCAGCCCGTCAATTTTAAATTGAAATTTTTATCATTTCTTTACGATTTTCACATAAAAAATGGTAGATATGTATTTAAGGTGATTTCACAAACCGGTTTTATGTAATCAATTTAAGATTTAATAGGCAAAAATAAAGTGATTCATATGAAAATTTTATACCTTTTTTTTTCAAACGGAGGTCGATCTGAAGTACAATGTTCTATCAAAAAAGTTAATTAAAAGTTAAATCTCATTCCAAATTCTTTTTAATTACTTTTCTTTGTATGCTGCAGATAGTACCTAGTAAAATGAAATTAGACTGAACTCTTAAGAAGGAGCATTATGGATAGATGTATAAAAGAAATGCAAAGTTCTGAGTCTAAAGAAATAAGTAATTTGAATAACCGTCAATCTTTTAACATCTTTTCCTGGATATGAATTTTCTTCTTAAAGCTCAGTTCAAAACATTAGTTTACACAACTACCAAGAAAGACATTCAATTGTCGTTTATTTACTTATTTATTGTCATAAATATGTAAATTGTTTCCTTAAAGCATATAAAATAATTAATTTTATGACGATTACAGTTTTATTGAGCGCTAGAAAAGTAGTTTCAAAACATTTAAAAGTAAGACTAGCTAAAACAATGAATTTTGGATAAGAAAGCTTTCAGATTAAAATTTCAGATTCTGCTGTATAGTGGACTCCCTACTACTCGAACCATTTATGTCTAGAAAACAGTTCCAAGTTATTCGAACGCCTCAAGCAATACTGAAATCATTATATGCACTTAACTGAAATTTTCTGAATTTTTGTTTGAATTCTCTAAAACTATGAATTAACGATTGTTCACTGCAATTTTCACAGAGAACTACAGTTTGTAACACTATGCACGAAATTATACATTTTACTACAGGAAACACAATCCATCTAAGAATATGGTCTTACTAGAAAATTTTTAAAAATCAATATCAATAAAGTGATCTAATTAATTCATAACAGCATCAGTAAGACTCACCTGCTGTACATAATCCGATCGGGAAGGTGCCTAAGACTATCCAACTCAAGAATGATGCTATTTTTCTGATGATGCACATGGTTGAGATCGCAGAACACGTAAGCGTGCAGATGTTATAGGAAATAGAAGTACAGGATATATGTTTTATAAACATAGATTTTATATAATTATGCAATAAAGAGTCCAACTATTTGCTGGAAGTAAAATATAAATCATATTATAAAGACCGTTTGCTGCATAGCTGAGGACTTAAACATGGCGTAAAAATACAGTGGCTTTTAACGTTCTTACAACTTATTGGTAAGCAGCGCCACACTTTGACAATATTTTTAACTAAATGTAAAATACAGATATTTCATCAAAAACTTATATAAAATAAAAAAAATAATATTTTTATGGTAAAGACATTACTAAATTCTCAAAGAGTTTAAATACATTTCTCAAAGAATGGAAGAATCGTTATTACTAGTCCTGTAAAGTGGTCTCATCAAATTTTTTATTAAACAATTTCATGCTCAGTGAGCATGTTATAAGGAAGGTACGTTGATTTCAGCAAATTTGATACATTTTTTTGTAATTATCACAAAACATTTGTACCGAGTAAAAGAAAAACTTACTTGTTAACTGCACAAAATTCATCGGTGGACTCTTTTTTTTTTTAATAAAAAACAATGAAATATTTCACATTTGTGTTATATTTCACTACACAAATTCCCTTATATAATTGAAAAAAGGTAAGGTGCTTCAATGTTTTTCTTATGCTACCTTAAAAGCAAAAGTGCATGTAAAGCAAATACTGAGTATTTTTGACATTTCGAAGGCATATTAACATCAGCAATAAAAAGAAAAAGTTTTAATGTCTTTAATTACTATATTGTACGAATTCATAATATTAATTTTCGTAGGTGTAAATTAACAGTACAAAGTAATATTCACACGCTAGTTATATGGAACTGATTTATGAAACGATTTATCAGGCGAATGCAAATCTTAATTACTTTAAAACTTAAAACCATTTACTCATACTATAGATATTAAAAATAATTTTTGCATTAAAAGAAATGTAATTAAAATTTCGTTTTAACATTTTCTAAAACAGGCAAAAACCATCAAGCATTGAATTTTACAGCAGTGAGAAATGAATAAATCTTAGAATAATGTAAGGAAACATTCAACACTGTTATATATTAAAAATTTTTAGATCAGAATGTAATGGGAAGATTTTTAAAATTTAGTAACATTAGGTAAATATAAGTCACCGCTCGAGCTATTCAAAGACCTTTTGTAAAAAAATCGGCATGTGTAAAAACATAGAATTAACTTACCTAGGAATCACTATGAAAGAAGAAAAGAAACTGCTGCTCAGTTCTGTTAACCTGCATTATGATGTTTGCCAAAAACGGAAATTTACCACATACCAAACACATCACAGTATGATATTGTTCAAAGATATTTTCAAATAAAATTAACGGCATCCATTTATTTTCACAGAATATGACCTTAAGTTCTGTTCCTTCTTTGCAGTCTTTTTCTGACAAGCAAAAATATTACAAAAGTGATTGAAAATTTGTTCCGTGCACATAAAATGAAGAACAAAGGTTAAAATATTTGCAATAAGTAACCATAAAGGTACTGCGTTAATATATTTCATTAATAATTAGTATTTCATTTTATAGCTTAACGTATTTCACTTGGAAAATACGATTCGCGAGTTCTATAGTAGATTACTCACTTAAAATTAAGCAAAACTCACAGTAACTCATTTGTTAATGAATATGTAAGCAAAAGTCAACTTCTTAAAAAATTACAAAAGAAAATTTCCTTCTATTTTATGCAAGAAATATTTTGACTCATACCTCGAATAGTAATTGAGAAATTTGTTCTTATGCCTGGTAATATTCCGTTATCAGCTTCGCATTCGTAGTACCCGGCATCTTCTGGTAAAGCTGAAGATATTTTTAAAATGCTGCTGTTTCCTCTTTCTTTCTCATGAAGTGTGTTCATAGTTAAATACTCAATTTTCTGATTTTCTATAAGAACAAATGTAGAAGATTTTAGAAACTAACAGTGTTCCAGAAAAAAAAAACTGACTAATATAAAATTTGCTTTGAATAGGTCTTTTCAGAATACCAAAGCTGAAAAATATTTTTAATGATATTTTACTGGGTATTTAATGACAATTGACAAAAAATTGTAAAAACATATCCTTATTTCATTTTATTTCTTTATAGATGTATGTTGCAATCAATTATATTAGTCTTATGTTTCAATATTTGACACATATCCTTATTTAAATTGAAAAACACCTCCACTTTTGGATTTCACTCTAAATCAAATTACCACCTCCAAATTAAAAACGTTTCAATTTTATTATTCTTTGTCCATATTCCTAGAGCTAAGTTCTAGATCTATAATTTTAGAACTGAGCGGCGTAATTTAGATCAAGTGAAAGGAAATTTTTATACAAATTGTTAAATTATTACATTGTAAAAAATATGTTATAGTCTTTTTTTTCTCTGGTTACAGAAATGAAGATTATGAATTTGTGTTCAGCCACATTTAGCAATAAATAAATATAAAACTGTATATAAATATTCAAACTCTTATGCTGCGTTTTCCAGATAGCATTCGTTAACATCTGAAGCTGCAGGGAATGAGAAATGTTATGAACTAAAAAATCAAGCTCTCAATGCTTAAGATCTAACTCTCAGAAGCACTTTATAAAGTATGTTTTGTATTAATCTGGAATGTTTAAAAATAACATTATTATTGCATCCTTAATATTTTTAAATGTTTCTAAGAACATATGTATATTAACATGCATATCCTTAGAAATGTTTTTGTACCTATCATAAATGCAATTTTTACGTTTTTCTATGATTCAAGCAGTATGATACATACAGCATTCTGTAGTTTCTGTATACATAAAAGCATTTAAGCATGCAGACAGAATACAACACTATCATGTGAGACGTATCTTTTATTTCCATTTCAAAGTTTACAGAAGGCTGAGAGATAATTTTAGAAATCCTTTCCTTAAACTGTAGCTCTCCATGTCTATAGATTAGCAAAAAACAAAGCGAAATTCTAATACTGGCCGTAGTAACTTTGTACAAATTTACAAATAACTTGAAACACTGATTGCTTATAACTAAAATTAGTTCATGTGAAAAGAAAAATCATTCAGGGATAATTTAGAACAGTATTTTAAAAACGCACTAAGGATTTTCTGCCTAAGTTTTAAAGTATTTCTATTTATGTAAGCGGAGCATCTGAAGAGAGGGATGATTTTTATAGCAAATATCAGTCATAATATAAAACAGACTGAAAAATATTTCTGCATTATATTAAAGTATGAAACATAAAATAAGAAAAAAGGGCACGTAGATATTGTAGCTTTTACGTAACACAAACCTTATGTAGCGACTTATCTGCATATATGGACAGACTGCGATTGTGCAATTAGTATTATTAACTTCTTGGAAACTCAGCGTTCGTGCGAAATTCTGTTACCATTTAGATTATATATACTCATGAGAAGACTGCAAAGGCAGACGTTCTAGTTGTTTAATTACTCTGAAATATTCAGTAGAATAACGTATGACAAAACTTGTTCCAAATTGATACTTTAATAATCAGCTTTTAATGCCTACTGATGTAATTTCATACCTTGTAAAACAATTGTGCAACAACGACTGTTTCAATAACTCTGCTGGCTTGTTTCAGCCACATTTATGGAATTTAGTTGGATTAAATGTGTATGAATTTTCTAGTTTATTTTTACTATAAACCGTGTAAATATAATGTTGTGTCTTATTGAATTTATCTAGGTACATTTCTACAATGCAAAATAAAACAGAAAATAAATACGTTTAAAATCCATTCCGTATTTAGTGTGGAATAAACACATGCCAAAAACAAAAGTACAGTGACAAACCTTAAGAAAAGTTGGGGGAGCAAAACCTGCCAAAACCCAAAATGAAAACTGATATTTACATATTTCGCTGCATAGTAATAAGATGGTTGGTGCAACGAAAGAAGTAAATAAATAAAACAGCTGATTTCTCAATTGACAAGGGCACAAATTAAAATTTAAAATAATCATAGAAAATAAAGTAATCTGTGTCTTTAATCATTTAAATCCCTTTTTTAATTTTATTTTGTATTTTCCTAATATTGTTTTTCTAAAATTATTAAATTAAAAAAAATTATGTCCTTGTTAACTCAGAAACAGGCTATTTTACTTTATTTATTTACTTCTTTCGTTGCACCAACCCTCTGATGATAATGCAGCAAAAGATGTAAATAACATTTTTCATTTGGCATGTTTTGCTCTCCTTTTCTTGAGGTTTGTCATTATGCTTCTGTTTATTTTTTTTGGGGGGAGGGGGGCTCATGTGGTTTATTTCGAACTGAATATGGGATGGATTTTAAAAACAATTATTTTTCATTTTACTTTGCCCTATTACGATTACTTGTTGCTGCTATCTGCGCACAATCGAATTAGGACTCATTTTGTTGCTTTGTATTTATTTCTTCATTAGTTTTTTATATATTTATGTAGATAAATTTTCTCATAAATTAACTGTATCAAAAGTGTAATCTTAAGTGTATTATACTAATTTCATTTTGCTATTTGGTATTGCAATTTACGACTCAGGGTACATTACTCTTTTCTCCTGATTTTAGAGTAACTTTTATATCATTTTTGTTTGTTTCCACTAATACGAAGACTCAATGTGTCAACTGAGATCCATAAAACAAAATCAGCATCAACAGGCATCAAAGCATCAACAGGCATAATAACAATAACAATGAATACGGAAAGGGATCAATTACTCCTTACTTCTTTTCATTTCTTCCCTACAAAGTATCTAGAAGAAAACTTAAATGTTAAACGCAACTCTGCTGCAATATACAATAATTTTGCAAAACAGATCATTGGCGAAGATTTAGCAGTCACCATGCCTGACTGGATTACATTCGAAATAACAGGAGCCGAATTCTGGTCAATATCATAAAAACCAAATAATCCTGTGTTGCACAATGAGGCAGCGGTCCCACCACTTTCCAAAGAAATACAGGTGAGGATGGCCTGATATTATGTTTTCGTCCCATATAATAAGCAGCAAAATCAACAACTAGAGTACACTTGAAGAACCCTCGCTCTATCAAAAATTGATTTCTTTCACAATAAAATACAAGTTCCTTTTTCTGCAAAAGACACATTTCGCCAACTATGTCATAAAAAATTCATCAAAGATTTCAATAAGGAAGAAGAAACAATATAAAGTCGAAAAGTGCTGAAACATTGAACCATCCCTTACTTGAAATAACCTAACTTTCAAAAAGTTCTACATGAAAATGGTAGGTTGCTGCGCAAGCGACTGATGTAAAGATCAGATAAAGCTCTATATCTTCATGCGTTGTCATAAGCCTTTTGAATGTCATAAAATGCTGAAACTAAATGGTTCCATTTTACAAAGGCTTACCTGATGGGGGTTTCCAGAATATATTATCTATAGCTGTTCTACCTATAGAAATCATTCTTTTGGTATGAGATTACTTTTTTTTTTCGAAGTAATAGCCTAGGTAGCTGTTTGCCATTTTTTCAAACAGTTTGCAAATACAGATCGTTTGTGCGACGAACTGATAGTTCGAGAGATGTTTAGGGTCTTTCATTGGCTTAGCTAGAGGAAAATAACAGATTTCTTCCATGCATTTGGAAAGATATGCTTCCAAAGTTTTTTAAATGTATGATCCTACATGCATTTAGAACATGTGGGATTATCATGATAGGACATTTTAGAGTAATCAAAAGGCTAAAATTGAAAACATCCCACACAGGTAGGTACATATAGTCATTTTTAAAACTAGTTTGCAAAAATAGATCCTTTTCTGAAATGGTCTGATATATGGTCTGATTGGGTATACATTATGGTCTTACGGGGCAATTTAAATATCCGCCTAGGGCGCAGATCAGGCGTGTTGAAAGAAGTAAAGATAACCTACTTTGTGTTAATCAGCTGACCCTCCTCACTTATCTTGATCTTCTTAACATTTCAAACATTCTGCTTTGCAAGTTATTTAAAGAGTTCTCCATCTTAGATGGACAGAACGTCGAATTCGGAGAGAGCTCTCGGGGGATATCTCCGATCTCTCTTCAGGGGAATTTAAGAGCTTGTGCATTGAAACAATGATGTTCGATTTGTCTTATTTTTGTAAATCCGACAAGGGAAGTTGATATCGCTCTTATCAGGTCTTCAGATATCAATTTTGTCATGTTTTTAGGTTCACTTACATAAAACTTTTGTATGAGAAAGGTAGACATATTTTGCAGTTCCCCAGAAGATTGTTAATTACAATAAATCATGGGCTATTAGGTTCTTTGGAATTTACATTTGCGAGAAATTTTCCCTTTTCATTAGCATTTACAGATGTTTTACTCTTTTCGAAGATACTTGCGGAATTATAGAAAATGAATGTCAGAGAGCCATATTTGAAAATAATAAAGATTCGGACCCGGCAGCTCCAGCCATCCAAGAGTCCAACAAGCGAACACATTCTTACACACCAGAACTAGCCAGGTCTATACGCAAAAACGTATCCATAAGCCACTAATATACAAAGATTAGTGACCAGCCTATTGACACTAGCGAAGACAGCAATGTGCTTCCAGCTTTGACTGAAGCAGGTGCCAAAGCAGCGTTGCTGGGGACAGTATCTCTCCCTTCAACTACCAGAATCCTCCTTTCCAGCCCTACGGGTCTTCATGAACTTCAAAGGCGTACGTAGTTTTTTCGCTGTTGTAAACCACAGACAAAGCATTTGTAACACCATCCTACGTAGAGGAAATCACAATTATCCCTGACCTCGGAATTGCCACACACGATTCATGAAGAGTGTGCCGCGCCGCTAAAGGCTTGCACATTGAGATATTTACTGAACATAATACTTAAAAATTTATTACCGGACTTTTATTAAGCATTGTGAAATCCTTCTAGATGCGAAGCAGTAGTTCTGCGTTTGAATAATCTGAGGAAGAGATTGAGGCATTTCAAAGCAGCTACCAGATAATCTGATTGATAACAGAATGATTAAGTACAAATAATGCATTCAAATTGGGAATGGATATGTCATGTAATAAGATGTATTTGCATCAAATACTTTTTAATTTTTTACAAATATAAAGACTTTTATTAAAACATTCCACTTTCTCAGAAATATTACAAAAATATAAAATGTATAAACAATTATATTATCTAAGCCTGAATTAAATTTCATCTTCCTTGCTAGGTTTAGGCGGAGTGCTTTAGTCTATTTTACCATAATTAAACAATCCAACTCTAGTTTATTTAAAAGGGTGAAAATTGTTGTTTCCCAACATTAGAAATGTAGTTTACATAAAATTAAATAAGTAAATAAAATTTAGTTAAATTGTTCCAAATTTATACTTACTATTCTTCGATGGGAACACAAATGTACATAGGTAATTATTGCTGGAGAGCAGTTCACCGAAATTTTCCTTCAAGCATGGATTTGGAGTTTTTAGACTTTATAGTTTGTGGCAAAACGCTCGAAGGATATCTGTCTAACGGAAAGGAACGCCTTCGTGGAGCAGTTTTTGACGGAAACTACCTCATATAAATATTAAACATTAGGAACGTCCCGAAAACAGCCCCTGTTGCCAGCTTGTTCGCCAGGATTTGAACCCCGGATAAAACTACCAGTGTTTAGGGACTTCACCGTTCGACTGCTTTTGGGAAACTCCCTCCAGAAAGCTGATAACAGAGATATCAAGCAGTGCAACAGCTTTTAAGATGCATACAGATTAGTGCATGCACAAAATTTTAGAATAATTTCTTCAACAAACATGAATGAAGCTTCAAAACAACAAATAATGGTAATGTTCAAAACACAACTTACTTCCATCAAAATATTGTTCGCTTAAAAATCGAATTGGAATATGATTATTTCTTTGGTTTTATGTAGTCAAGGCCTGCTATTACAAATTTAATGACTGTACAAAAAAAACAAGAACCTTTTGTGAGCATAATGCAACCTTATACATACAACATATTGAGCATAAAAGCATTAGTGTGGACATTCAGACTAGAACCTTTCGTTCCCTGAAGTAAAATCTTACTTAAAAATCATAATTTAAGTACATTTCAGGAATTTATAAAATTTTAACAATTGTATCAAAAATATTTTTCCATTGTCTAATAATTAACACGAAGAAGCTAATAATTAAAAATTTGTATTCTTAGTATCTCAATCCATCCATAAGCCAGTTCTAAAACTTCGAAAATGATTTGTGGGTACAGTCTTTGTAAAGAAAAATTGTTTCTAAATTGGAAAACGTTCATTATATTCTGAGAAAGAATATTTCGAAAACTGGAAATATAAACGATAAAAAAATAGCAAAATAATTCTAAAATAAGAACCTGCTGCACTATTTTATCACAGAGATAAAATATTAGCCTTACTCATAAACCTATTTTAAATTTTTAAAACTCGAATATTGAAGCGTTACTACTTTTCCTGTCAAAATCGGATTAAAACTGTTCCTTACCAGAATATTTTTTCCATTTTATTTGAGGCTCTGGAGAACCAGCTGCAGCGCAATAAACTGTTATGGAACTTCCTAAGGATGTTATTACGTCATTTGGCTGAATGATCCATCTAGGATGTGCTGGAAACAAGAAAATCTTAATAAAATTATTTAGAAACTGAATGAAATAAACTATTTTCTTGAAATAAGATATGCAGTAAATGAATATTTATTAGCGAATTCCTTAATATAAAAAAAAGGTTTATTTCAAATGTATATTTTGCATCGCGATGAAGTACATACTTTGATGAGTATTCTATTACGTATGATACAGTATAAAACATAATTCCAACCATAAGCCCGAACTAAAACAATTTTTTGCAAACTTAAGTGAAAATTCGAACTGTCAATTTACTAAAAGAATTTGCCTCGGGAGACTTCTAATTCTTATGAAACTGCTATATAATTTCCATTTTAGATTCAGATTAACCTTAATATTATTACTCCCAACAGTTCACGTCATTTCAAACTGTCACAAAATTAAAGCAATTTTATCGTTGTTCCCTGACAGTAAATGACTAAATTCGGAACATTCTATTGATTATGATTTTATTTCTTACTAAATATATAATCATGTTTAATGGAATATACTTTGTTTCATGAGAAGTGACAGAAAAATAAAGTCTCCAGCCGTGTAAAATAACTTCATGACAAAATAAATTGTAAAATGGTATCAAAATGAAAGAAACTAATTTCTTCTAAATACTGCACGTTTGTTTTTTAATTTAGTCTACCTTTATTATTACATAATTTTCCAAGCGTCTGATAAAATTTTCATTCCATTGATGAAGAAGATTGTGGCTTGCTTTTGAGCCATTTGCGCGCAGCAACTTGTATTTTCAGTGTTAGATCAAATTCTTGACTTTTAAAATCATTAGGGTTTTGGATGCTCGAGACGTGAAAAATGTGCAATGCCCTGGAATGGGTTTGAATTCCGGTCTTCCCGAATACACGTCGAGGGCTACACCACGAAGGCATGTGGAAAGGAGAGAGACAACATCTTATAAATTTTTTCAACTGGTATGACCTTATATAACCTCTCCAGAAAATCTTAGTTTTTGGAAAAATTCAATGTCGAAAGGACAGAAACACAACGATCATCATGAACTGCCATCTCATGCCTATAAATTTCGATTCGCCCAGCAACCTTCTAGTAACAATCACTTTATTTATGATTGCAGCTTTGTAACTCGAAGGTAATTCTAACTAACTCTGTTAATGAAAGAGTTATATAATAAAAACTAACTGAAATTCATTTGTACCTTATAATAGCAGCTGCCCTAAGTGAAACCGATTTTCTACCTTAATGATGAACGACGTTATGCGGCGGCAGATTGGACTCTTCAATCAACCTACGGAATATTTTTATTTGTATAACTATAAGAAAATGTACAGCCTATGTTCGGACTACAACATTTAGCCTTTTCATCATCAACGAAATACGATACTACCTATACGCAAGTATTCTCTCCTTTCTAACCTCTGAAATGTAAGCCCCTTTGAAATCATCTCATATTCTTATAACATATTTAAAAAGGTGCCTGATTGTCAATATTATTAAATATGATGGACATTGTTCCTTCCCTAAAGTTTCCAAAACTGCCATTCGATTTCTTCGCATTCTTTTAAATAGAAGAACTGTTTCATATACTCGTTCAAATGGATTCGAAAGGGGTGTAAAATAGATATTTTGATTGAAATATGATCCCCAAATTTTATGCGATTACAATACTTCATTTAGTTCGCACAGGAAGTAAAATTAAAGAAATTACTTATGTTAAAACAATTAAGCATTCAAGAACAATATGCTTTATAACTGCATTGTGCTTATGCTGTTCTTTTTGAAAATTGCCGAAGCATATCTAAAAGTAGAATATTCTGCTGTTGAGAATGGAGCTGTTAACATAATTGGCTGAGTTTAATAACTGTATTTATTGAGTTGCAGGTGGATTAAAAGTGAAATTTTAATTTTAGCTTAAAAAATCATCGAAACGTCATCCAATTTTCCAAACGTGCGCATTTTGTTCTGATTATGGCACAATAACAGAAGAATGACGCAAATGAAAGGAAACATTTTAGAACACATTATAACTATTTTAAGACAGTCGTAATATCTGAATGAGATTAATCTATCACCCCTTCAGTTTATATAAGAATATGGCGTTTAAAAAAATAAAACTAGAAATACTAGGTAAAAACTCATAATTTCTTAAACAAATAATTTTAGTTCTTGGTATTTAATGTTCATAAATTTTTTCAACTTCATAATAATAATAAGCGCAAATTAATTTTAGCTTGGAAATTCTGCATCGTAATATCAGTTACTTTTCCTATCTGTCAAAATCAAATTTGTAAAAATTCAATATCAAATTGAAATAAAAATTTAGAAGTAATTGATCTTAAAATGATCAAATAAAATAGAGAACAATAGTTTGAATATTAAAAAGATTTTTAAACATTAAAAAGAATAAGGGTATAACCTATTGAAAAATATTAATATATAATTTGAACACAAGAAAGGAATATACTGTATAATCATAATCTTATGCAACTCCCGTATGTACACACTTGTTCAAAATTTAGTACAAAATAACTAAATTTATCACACATATAAAAAGATCTTGTAAGTAAAACAAAAGATAAAGTAAAATATATGACTAAATAAAATGGAAAATTAAAACAATTTCCACTGGTGATATTTTAATGCTTAAAGATTAATGATTTATAATTTTACTTATTCTCTTATAATAGGCCACAAGGCATTAAACTCTGTCTGTTGTAAATGAAATAAGCAATAAAACATGCAGAAAAAGTAAAATAAGTCCTTAAATGAATTTACTATACTCTAACTAGTGGGTTAGGATCGAATAAACTACATCAGAGTACAAATTCATTCTTTTATTGTATCACGTTGCATCCTAGTTAGGTTTTAAGGATGTGATCTCATTTAAATACCAGGTTTACTTTTAAAAAATCACGAAAGTTGTTAGAAAGCCAGACACTTGTATCTATATGTCCAAGCATATAAAAGATGGTTTTTAAGAAATGCTAAAAATAGCTTAATCTGTTTAAGCATCTTTTGTTAACTTTTCCAAATCATTAATTCATGCACGCACGTACTCTAACGAGTTTTCTTTCCACTCTTTTAAAAATGAGTTCTTTTTTGTAAATAAATTTTAAGAACGAAGATCAAATTACATTATACTTACTATCTCCTATCATATAAACAAACTAATATAGGCATTTAAAATGTCTGTATGATTGTCTATATTAATTCTGTTATACAAGCAAGTCTATTAAGTATTTCAAATAAATTTTAAGGCGACTTATATTCAGATATTTAGGTCCAACTTAGATTCAAAACATTCCTTTTCTAACTATTCCGCCATACTTAAAAATATTAATTACTTCTAGTATGCAAAATATTTTCATGCATATATTTAATAGAATAGGAAACTGTAGGTATAAAAATTCTAGAAAAGGTTCTTAAAACTTATTTTACCCATTTACATGCTAGGTTTTCGAATTAGGAACAGTATATAAGAACAAACTATTTAGTTTTTTTGATTTTCAGTAATAACTGTTGCTTACATCACTTCTAAATGGAGCAGACATTTATAATGTTAATTTTAAAATATATTAATGCTTTTTCTAAGGTTGTGCTATTTGAATAAGAAAATTACATGAGGACTACCTACCTACGGGAAGGAATGCCTTCGGGAAGTACTTACTATGGACAACTGGTTGGTACTCTTATATAGGAAGAAAAACACCCACGGAATCTGCCCATTGGTTTGGGTTCGAACCTAGTCGTACTATTCGTATTTAATCGTCTTACCTACTCGGCCTCACAATATTTATTCTCAAGAGGCATACAAAAACATTTCTGACTTCTCTTAATTCTAAAAGTTGAAATCACAAATTAAAAATTCAAGATAATTATTTCGTAACTGCTTATTTTGTTTTATAAACTGTATTACTCAAATTCAAAGCTTATTTTGAAATTCAAAGCTTAATATTTCAATTAAATAACTTCATTCATATGCACATATCTTGCAGTGCAAACGATGAGTAAAGTAAAAAAAAACATATTTTTGAAATACTTGAATAGTATAATGAGTTAATATAAAGGTAAATGAATATACTTTAATATAAATTAAATTTGAAATTGAACAGTATTTATTTTTAAACACCATCCAAAAATATTTCAGAGTATTAAAAATATTATTTGGCGAATCTGTGATACATGTTTTAAAGCAGGGTTTTTTTTAACTTGGTTTTGGTGCGCGGACCCCCTAATATTTACGAAAATTTTATGGGACCTCCATAAGCATTGCGAAAATCCGACACACTCGTGAGTAAAACTATCAATTTCTTCAATTGTACTGTAATATAATATTGCAGTTTTAGGTCATTGACTTTAAAAATTAAAGTTAGTAAAAGTAAACTGAACGTTTTCTATAAAAAAGAAATGCATCGAAACGTTTTTGTTTTTCCTTTATATGTATTCTCTTATCTTAATCTATTTTCACATACATTTTGTAAAAGTATTTAGTAATTATAAATTTATTAGAATAAGTTAAAGAAATATCATAATTGCTAAATTTTTGGAGATCCACAGTTTAAGAAACTCTGTTACCTTTAAGTATGCAGGTTATTTACCTTGAAAGGAATAAATATATGTTTTACCATATCAATTAAAAAATAAAACTACATTCAAAATCAGGTGATGGAAATATATAAAAGTTACAACTATTAAAGTAAATCAAAATACCTTTAACTTTGAGTGAAGTTTCATATTTATCCATTCCTTCAGAATTTTTCGCTATGCACGTGTAATTTCCACTATCTTCTAGTGTTACAGGATCTAATATGAGCACTGAAAGTTCATTCGTATTGCTAAATCGAACGTTATCACGTCTTTCATCTAGTGTTTGCCCATCTTTCCTCCATTCATAAGTTATAGGTTTTGTTTTTGTTGCTGCTAAACACATAACTGATGTCATTTCGCCTTCTAATACGTTATCTTGAAAAGAAATGTTCTTAATTTTGGGAAGATCTGTAAAATATAAGATGCTTTAAAAACCTGATAATTCAATGCATAAGAAGTAAAGCTTATGATTAAATATTTTCTTGTTTTGATAAACAGGCACATATATGCGTAACAATTTAAAAGGGTCTTTAATATAGGTGCTACATTAAATGTAATATGTATATTAAGAGTGACATATCTAGTTCCATGCATTTCTAAACAAAATGCATTTTTATTATTTAATGCAATTCTTTTAACAAAATCAAATTTATGCATGAATAAAAATACATGAAATAATAAAAATACATGAAAGCAATATCGGATTCGAGAAATCAGATTTTCAATATAAAAATTATAAGCAAAGTTTTAAAAATTACCGAACAAGAAAAATACACTCACCTTTACTGTGAATTGCTGAAACTTGTAGTAGAAGTCTTAGCGTCAAGAACAACAAATGTGTGCACATTTGTAACTGGTGCATATTAACAGGAAGCATTAAGATGATATAGTTTGCTTCCTAAAGCTAATAAACTGAAAAACTAACTTTATTGAAGTTTAATTCAATTAAAATAATTTACCATTTTAGCCTTACTAAAATGTAATAAGGTTATTTTCTTCAAGTGCGTGAAGCCTTTCTTAGAGCATGAATTCTGAAATGATGGCGTAGCGTTGATGAGTCCTTAGTAGTACAACAAGCAAACTGATAGACAGCGCCACGTTTTGGCATTATTTAGAACTAAAAATTGCATTTATATAGAAAATGATTTAAATATATCATTCAAATATGTTCAAGACATGCATGTTTTAGCAATCTAGTATGAAATCTAATATAATTTAATATATTTTAAGAAATTACTTTTGTTTGAAAAAAAAATGATGCTTGTATTTTGCGCACAAATATTATTTCATATGAACAATATAAGGTATGAAGTTAATAGTCAAAACAATAATTAATAGAGATACACTTTTTAAATCAAAAACATTCTTCAATACACAGCGCTTAGACAGCATATACAGTGCGAAAATAACAATTAGCTTCTACAATGCAAATTTGTAAGTATTTTTTTCGAAATATAAGTATTTTTTTCTGTTATGTTAATACAAATCTAGATATATATTTATGAAATCTTTCCCCATATACAAGATACAATGCTAGAAATTTCGCGCATGAAGTTTATACAAATGCTGGTAATATTGTAACGAATTGTAAGCAATGTAAAGAGAAGGACATTATCAATACACTGATAAAACATACTGTGTACGAAAGAACCCCTATAATTAACCTAATTATAACACTGAAGTTTATTCTTGTACAAAAAAAAAATGACGTGAAAAAACTATTCAAAACGCTTCAACGAAATTTTTAAGTGAAAGATTTAGCGCAGCTTCAGTTTATGAAAAAGAAACGGCGAGAAATTAAGTTCAGAATATTTCTTAGTTACATTGTAAATTATTCAAAATATTTAAAGGAAAAAGTTCGAAAAAATAATCAACCTCCTTTCATAACGATCATAAAACTTCTTTCCATAAATATTTAATGACAGAGGTATATGGTGCGAAATATGGTGCTTTCGCAATTTTTAACCAAATTACTTGATGTGTATAAAATTTTCCGGCTTTTTGAATATCCATGTACAAACTGTTAAGATGATTTGTTCATCGCGTAAGAGATTTCCATTGTGTACCAACAACCCATAAGCAAAGCTTCATTAAACCGGCATAAAAAGGAATGGTATACTTATAATGAAGCAACAACTGACGTTATGCAGATCTGGAAGCTTTCCTCTCTTAGCATATTTCAGTTTCTGAAGCTGAAAGCAGAAAAATGAATATTTTCATGTACTAACATATTCAGTAGATCTAATTAATAAACTTAATAAATATATTAATAATGAATTCGGCTTAAAACTGTAGTACGCTGAAAAAAATTGGGAAAATTCTTAGGGAATCCTGTTTTAGTCATGTAATTGATAACATGAGAAAAAAGTAAATCAATTTAACATTTGTGTTTGTAAACAAACTAACATAACGAGTGTTTTTGTAAACATAATGAGATTTGAATCGTTTCATTAATTTTTCATTTTTCTCGATCATTAAGTTTACTAATTTCGAGAGCACTTTCACTGACAGATGGTAAAGAAAACCAACCAATTTTAGTACATCCAAAGTTAAAAAGACTCGTTACGCAACTTGAGAACTAAGCTCGGTTTCATTACTTAATAAAACATTAGTACTAGTACAATAATACTTCATTTGTTAAGAGTCTTTAAATAAATTCAGGAAACGAGTAGATTCTGAGACAAAAATATTGAAGCCACACAAGCTGCATAAGAACATAATAAACAATCAAACTGACAACTTGGATTCAGAAGACTTAAACGAAGTTGCAAACAGAGCTTGCAGAGCTTGATAGTGCAAATTTATAAATAAATAATAAACGATAAATGCATTCAATTCTCATCATATATCCCTGGTCTTACGAAAATGAATTCATTTTATTCAATTAATAAAGAAAACATTAAACTAATGATAAATCATCCTTTTGTTTTTAAAGCAAAAGTTATCCTTTAATACATTTACAGAACGGTTATTTTGCTTTATTTCATTGCAATAGAATGTTCTAAATAAAAGTATGCCCAAGCATGATTTGTGTTGCTATTATTAACGTCACGCTATTTTGTAGTAATGTTACATGTGCTAAAATGCAGAATGCTACATCACATTTATATAGTATCTAGTATATACCTATATGCACATCATCTATTTTATATACTATTAATTGCAGTGTTGTGTTGACAGTCGATTTGGGTACACTTTTATCTGGGCCACTATGAATCTTCATGGATTGCTCACTCGTGAAATTCCTTTTGTTTCTCGTACGATAAAAATTTGAAACTTTATACTATGCTATTAAACAAAGATTTAGGCGAATTTCTTTTATTTTTGAGAAAATTAGTTTTACGCATTTTCATAATATAAAAAATTGTTATGGTTTGTCAAATATTAATTTACCTTCCATCTAAAGTCAATATTTCTGTTCAGATATTTCAAGTTTCTTTCAGAACTATTCTCTTCTGTATTAATGAGAAAATCGAAATTTGTACAATATATAAGGCACGAAATTTTAATACTACAGAACGTCTCATACAAAGGTAAAATTAAGTTACATTTTTAGTCTCTACCTTAATAAAGCATTTGTATAATAGCTTTCTGCTATTTATACTTTAATTATTCACCCACGAATGATAAAACGCGATAATCTCGAAATAAATATTTAAATTTATTTAATACTGGAAAACAATGAAAATATCATTTCTAGTACATCTAGTACAAATATTGTGAAATAAAAAAATAACAGTTTTTCTGTAAATATGAAACGTTAAAAACATTTATGCTTAATTTTTCAAAATATGCTTCATCATGCTAATTTTCCAAACATGTTTTATTATTCTCATATGCTTATTTAACGTCAATTTGCTCTAAATAAGTTCGTCAATGTCAAATACTTAAAAACATGTTGTAGAGTAATTAGGTTATTTTGAAGCAGGCGAGGTAAAAAATGTGCACTGCCCTCCCCGGGACTCGAAACCTAGACCTCTCCAATATGTGTCGAATGTGCTTCCAGTTACACCACGAAGACATGAGGAAAGGTGGCAAAATAAAAACGTAAGTCTGAAAAATTAAAAGATTAATTTCATAAAACTTTTAACATAATATAATAAATACAAATGAGCTATGGCGATAAAATGTTCTGAAACTGTACCTGACATGGAAAAAAACATAGGAACTTAAAATTTGTTGATAATAATATTTTCTTACATCAACAATAAAATATTCAAATGAAGTAATTTAGAAGAGAAATTTCGAATATTTTCAATTCTGTTATTTCTGATGATCAGATAATTAATTAGTCCAAGTTTAACAAACGTATGTAATATATTAAAGTCCAGTTTTATATTAGAACTAGGGGGCAAGCCCGGCCAGATAAGCGGCCTGCTGCCAAAGTAAAATTTCTATGTATATCTGAAAAGAAAATACATAAAAACATTTCAGTAGGAAATGTTTCAGCTTTTTTTTCCTTGATTCACAATTTTCGCCCATACAAAATAGGGTTTTAACGATGTTGTCGTACAGACACTCTGTGACTATAAAACTGCTACTTTGTGTACTGCTTCAATTCTGAATCCTTGATCATTATGAGGAAAGAAAATTACATACGTCATCGGTTCCAAGTTCGGATTTAAGGTACTGATATTAATGATACCAACACTCCCATTTGATAGAGGAACGTTAATTTTATTCAACTTAATTTTCGTTTCGAGCGTTGTAACGTCCTTTGTGCTCAACCTGTAACAAAAGTTCGCCCTTGATGTACACATGGATAACAGGCATTTCTATATTGGCACCGAAAGAAGCAAAACTAAGAAGACAGTTATAGGCACGTATGTTAGCAAAAAAAAAACCTTCCTATAATTGAAAGTTCCCATCCATTAAATTACGCCATTATTCTGGATATTTTCTTTCAGCTTTTACAATTTTCCCTTTGTGACAGCTAGTGCACGTAACTTCCGTGTTCCTTTCTCCTCGAAAGAAATATCCACTGCAGAGATCGCAACAAGCTTCCATTGAACCGACACTGTGGTCAACGTAAACTTCGAGTCCACATCTTCCTGCATTCTGAAGAGTGTCACGTGAATATCGTGCTGTAATTATGCAGACCCTGTCTTCTCGTATAGCCATTGTTTCTTCAGATCGGACTTTTCTATTATGTGAAGTGTCTTGCGTTCGTCGTTTAGTGGCATCCTGTTCTAACTCTTCTATACGAACTTGACTATGATATCTTATGTCTACTTGCAACTTCTGTCTCTTCATCACGCATATTCTGTTGACGTTCCACTTGTCTGATGAGCTTTCTACTCGTTTCTGCTTCAGTTTCTTGAACACGCCTATTTTCTTGGATTTCTCATTATCTACTGAACCTCCTACTTGTTTTTGCTCCAGTTTCCTGAGCACGTAACGTTTCTTGAATTTCTGCTTGTTTGCTATATAATAATATATTTAATGTTTGACAATGCTATTTTTGTAAAACAAACGTTTTATTAACAAACTTTGACTTGAAAGCAATGAGTGATAACACTTTGAAATAAAGCAGATTTTTATCTCCAGCAAGTGCAACTGTTGCCCCTCGAAAATAATAAGTGCGAAAATTAGCGTTTTTGGAATTTTTAATTAATATATCGATTGATTAAAGTCGTACAAAGATGATAATTGTCGAAATAACTTCCCATGAATTTTTGGAATTCGGGGGGGGGTCACCTTTCTTGTAACAACACGCCATTCCAGAAGAGATAATGACACAAAAAAAAAAAAAAAAAAAAAAAAAAAAAAAAAAGAGACTTACACAGATTTTATTAGTACAGATTATCAACCTTAAATATATTTGTAGTTTTAAAACGTTACTTTGTGAGTTAGTCGTACTTATTCTTTAATTCCTTTACTTTCATTGAGTAGAACCTCTTCTGCATCAGAATTTGTTAAATTAATTCAGATTCGTCAACAACTTGGTTTCCTAGATCGCAAGAAGTTTGCAGTCAAATCTTTGAATACTGTACCTGTTCTGAACGTTTGTTAATATGAAAATATTTATATGGCTAAGAATTGCAGATAATGATTTTAAATAGTGTGAGCAATCTGAAAACACCATATGCGAAAATAAACAAACTTCAATTTTTGAAATACAAATAAGTTCTTCACTGTGAGAAATTTTTCCATAAAATATGTTACACCCAGAACGTCGCATATTTATTGATCCTTATAAATTATCTGCTAGAGAAAAATAAGCCAACATCAAATGTATTGACAAAAAATATATGAAAACATCCATTAAATCCAAAATATAACTTGATTTTATTTGTGTGTAAGATTCTGGAAGAAAGTATTAAATAACATTAAATATTTCAAATCATTTGTATTTATCTATTATTTTGTTGCCGAAATTATTATACTGAGGCATCAGTATTATGGAAATAATCCTAATTTATGGAATATGAGATAGATAACTTTCACATTTTTCATTAGACACATACACACATACACATCATACACACGTATATATTTTAAGCAACTGCTAAAATATACATAACATTTTTAAAAATGGTAACTCACCAATCACTTTGATTTTGATACGGCTGCTAATCGAAGAGACTTCATTTCCAGCTGAACATTCATATTCTCCCGTATCTTCCATTCCAGCTGCCTTTAAGATTAGAGTGCCGACTCCAGATTTTAAATTCACAATATGTCTTGTAAACTCTGGATTATGTGCTGTTATTTAAACACGAAATAAAACACGTTTAATGAATTGCTAATACACATATCCAAAAGTTAAACCTATTTTACCATGTATTTATATACTGGATATATATATATATGTTTGGAATGACAGTTACTGAAGTTTAATCTACAATCATCAAAATACATTTAATATGGAGCATGTTCTCCTCCTATGAAGTAAAAGAATGAAAACAACAAGAGAACTCATCTATAATACTTAAGTCAAAGGAAGCCTTGAGCACCATCATTCCAATGGCTCGAAAATTGCACCTGACATTTAATGTAAGATGGCTTAAATGCATCAACTACTTTACCATCTCTTCATCAGGATGTTGCAGCATAATATACCACAGGGAATGGACCAATATTAAACTTAAAAGTGAAGGAATAGAATACGTAAGTAAGCAGCCAGGGCGACATGGTCTCACACCAGCTCTCTGCTTATAAGCCACAGTGGACTTTTTTATTTGTATTCATTTAATGTCCTGTATTCGACATCTTTTTTTGCTTTATTCAAATAAGAATCTTCTAATAAGCTCATCCAGTGAGTATCTTCAAATTATAGAAAATTGTAGTAACTGAAAGAGGTCTATCCCTTATTAACATAGGGTTAACGCAAGTAGCTTTCGGAAAAAGTCTATTACAAGAATGCACGTACACTCCTGGTCAATTCAAAACGCAACACGAAGAAGGACAAGAGATATCAAAGAAAATTTTATTTCAGAGACTATACACATTATCAATGTTAACCCATTAGCCGCTGGTGTTGCGTTGACGCAACGGTCAAAATAAATGCGTATATAAGTATAACTACCTAAGATATTTTATACCAGCAGATGATTTTGAGTAGGGAATATTATGAAGATTATTTCTGTAAAAAATATTTGCCTTCAACAATCATTTTGCTTATATAGTAATTAATCTCGCACTTTAAGCAGAATTTAAGCAAAATTTCTGACCCGGGTATTTTTGCTGAAAATATTTAACGAAAGAATCGCCGTCTCTATGAGTGATCTATTTTTAGTCAAGGTCACCGTTTATCAAAACATTTCATAAGTCAGATGTTTATATTTGTGTTGGGAAGAAAGGGAAAACAGGTGTTGCGTTGACGCAACATCAGCAGGAAACGGGTAGTCAATCTCTTTTTTTACTCATTCCTTTCAATGTTCTGGTTGTTTAAAAAATGCCTAGAACGAGGTATCATACTTTAGAAGAAGCCCTTCAAAGATTTTTTGATAAAGAAATAGATGATGATAATTTTAATAATGACCGGAATGAAACTTATATTGTTGTTGTTCCCCCAGAAATTGCAGAGGCTAATGTCGAAGAAGAAAGGAATGGCAATGTTTTAAATAATGATAATGATATTTTACCAAATGATACTGCTGAGGAAGTTGAAATTCACGTAAGAAGTAAGTTTCAGCCTTCTAAAAGCAGTCAGCAGATTTCAGAAGACTGAAATCTTGAAGTGGATAAAAAAGGAACTGTTAGTTATGTCTCAGGAAGAGCATGAAGAAAGAGATAGAAGAGTAATTATAAAAGACAAAACACAAGGTAAAACTAGTGCACAGATTTTTCGATTTTCTTTTTGGTTTAGACATTTACTCTCTTCTCTTTGAACAGACAAATATATATACGTTAAAAAAAAAACAGAATTTATTGCATCTGAAGCCTATATGAGAAGACTTATTGGAATATTATTGCTTACAGGATATCATTCTTTACCTCAAGAGAAAATGTATTGGTCTTTTGATAAGGACATTTCTGTTCCTGTTGTACGAGAATTGATATCACGTTTGCAGTACAGGAATATGAAGCAGAATTTGCATTTGACAATACTGATAAATTATATGAGGTGAGACCGTATCTAAACTTACCAAATATCACCACTTTTTACTACTGGAAATATAAAGTCTCTTTTAGATTTCAGACGCGAGAATGCATTATTCCTTTTGCAAACTCCTATTGAGAGTGTAGAATTAGCCAGAAATAGATCAGCAATAAGAAGTCCAAGTACATTCAGCATTGAAAAACCATTGCATGGAGATGGTAGACATTTTATGGTAAAGTCCGTTGATAACAAAAGACTTTGTTGTAAAGATTACCATAGCCAGACTGTTTATAGATGTAAAGTATGTAATGTAGCTTTACATCATGATTGCAATCAAGCTTTTCATGCTTAAATCTTTCAAATGAAATAATCTGTATTTGTAAAAGAAATACAACGTATATTTTAAAATTAAATTAATTACAAGTAAAGTGATTTGTAGATTTATAAGACTTTATACAGCTAAAAAGTAATCCTGCGCTTTACTTAAAAGAAACATCACACGAGTACAATCCTACTCACTAAACATCCGTAGTCTTTTTCCGCTGACGTTGCGCGAACGCAACACTCGCTTTTTCCACAGGTAAGAGCATTTTTTTTATTTTCAATGTAAATTTATGTTATAAATGCTTATTTAATATTTGTTATTATTTTCATGAGAAAAGAAACATTCCTTGTAGTTTTGGCGGTTAATAGGTTAATTGATTTGAAACACATCCTTCTTTGAGGTGAAGAAGGTGAGAAATCAGTAAAGAGTGACTGTACTATTTTTAAGTGCCATGCTAAATTAAGTCGGAACGTTTACTTTTGTCAAATTTACCTTCAGAAGTGATCCGAGTATATCGGCTAATAGAATCTCTAACATATGATTCCTCTTCATATATTCATATCTGTTACCGAAAAAAATGCTCTTAAAGATACTTTTGTCAAAATAAATTATGTGCGGCCAATTCAAGTAAAGGTAAGTAACGGTATCTCTTTTCATTCTACACTCTAAACAAGCTTATCCAGACGTTCTCGATACCTAACAATAGCTTCACGGAATCACTTCTGCAGCCATAGCATACCATTTTGGAACGAATATGAGAACCCAATACGACACTTGAGATTATCGAACTTCGAGTAATCCCTCTTTCGTTTTGATAACTAAATCGAGATTATATATGTGGTATAGGCAAAGTAGTTCTATTCAACAAATATTTCACATCATTTACTGACAGTGATTAATGACGGCCTTTAGTCGGGTTTATAAAGATTACTTAGTTTACGTAAGTATCACCTACCATCTATTAAATATGTAAATAATCTAAACTTTGCAAATACTGTAAATGTTTTCATCTGTTTCTTATGTAGTAGTAAAAAGTGTTTTAAGCTTGGATATGGGTGTACATACACAATAATTTGGGCTTAGTTATGAACTATCGATTCGTGTTTACAAAAGCATACAGAAATAACAGCATCTAAATAGAATGGTATTATATTCATTTCTCTGTTACAAGCCCTTAAAATAATATGAATTTCACTAGACACGAATTCCTAAAAGCTGCATAATTTTTATGAAATTTATTCATCAGTCATGTTTTAAGTAAATTATTAGTAAGTATTGCTTAGTAATAAAAACAGAGCTATATTCATGAAAAACATCTGACTATTTATCGTTTTCCAAAATTACCAAAAACAATTTATACTGCAAGGAAAAGGGCATAAGTCTTGACGAAGCGGTTTAAGTAAAGAACCTTACTATAAACTGAAAATTTATTATTGACAAACTAAATTATATATCATTATTTAAAATACTTGAAGTTCCATTGCAGTATATTTTAATTATATCACACTGCATAATTTAATTAAATCTACGAAAATATAAGCATCAACCATTGAAATGTATCACATACTTTAAATGGTTTTTGAAGTCAAACTGAGTGATCACTAATACATGCATATGGAGGACAAAATAATGCGAACACCTGTGAAAAAGTATGACGTATTTCACACCTGCAGTACAGCCGCGCCACCTGCAACAGAAGTCTGCCACCTAGTGAGAGTGAAAAGGAAGATATCAGTCTTTCAATAGCAATCACTGCGTTGCATGCTTCGATCGAACTGCCTGTGAAAGTTGAAATGTCAGACCTGTCAAAGTTCGAAAGAGGAATGATAGTTAGAGCTCGTTTAAGTGGAGCATGGTTTACGGAAACAGCAAACCTTTGGGGGTGTGCAAGGAGTACGGTATCAGCCGTTATGACAGCGTACACGATCGAGGGTAAGCCGACGTCTTCAAAGCACAACAGTGGCCGAAAGTCAAAGCTGGCTGATAGGGATAGACGGGTCTTGAAGCGCTTAGTAGCCCGAAAGCACAAGCAATCGTTATTCGAGATAACACCCAAAATGAACAGGCATCTCTAGGACCCCATTTCAACAAAAACTGTCGAAAAGGAACTTTCTGTTGCGAACATTTATGGGAGAGTGGCAATTCGTAAACCCTTGGTGTCAGCAACTAATGCTTTCCAGCGACGCGAATGGTGCAGAGATTACAAAGCAGTGGCAACAGGTAGTATGGTCAGATAAATCGTCATTCCCCCCATTTCAGACGACTGGACGCGTTTATGTCTGCAGAACGCTCAAAGAAGCGTTTCATCCCGACTGCCTCTTGCCAAATGTGAAGCAAGGGGGTGGCGTCATTATGGAGTGGGGTACGATATCTTGGCACAGTCTTGGGCCACTTGTTATTCTGCATAGGAGGAGCATATCCAATCACTATCTAAGCATTCTAGGGCAACATGTCCAGACTGTATTCCCTGGGGAGCGGACGCTTTTTTCAAGACGCCAACGCCCCTTAGGCGTATTTAAGAATGGTTCTAAAAGCATGACGATGCAACTGAACATCTCGCTTAACCCCCGCAGTCTTCGGACATGAATATTATTGAACATTTATGGGCATATTTGGAGTCCAAACTTCGTTCCCGTTTTCCATCTCCATCAGGACTTTGCGAATTAGAGACCGCTCTGCAAGAGGAATGGCTTACTATTTCTTTAAATATTGTCCATGACCTTTATGCATCTATCCCACGTAGCATTCAATCTGTACTTCAGTCAAAGGGTGGACCAACCCCCTATTAATAAAGATTTTCCATTATTTCGCAGGTGTTCGTATTATTTTGTCCTCCATCTGTATTCTAGGAAAAGGTATAGTTTACGAAATGGATATCAAGCATTGTGTTTTCTTATAAAAAATATTGCAGTCCATGCAGCAGTGTTACATATTGGTATTCAAATGTAACATTTAAGAATACTTCGTAAATAATTTTAAAATTCCATCATTTATAAGAGTTGTATAACTCAATAATATCATGATAATTCATTAAGTGTATATTTGAAAACTGACTTACTTTCATCTATTCTTTTCCAGTTAAGTTTAGGTGTAGGTAATCCTTCAGCTGCACAATCCAAGATAATATCCTTTCCAACACTTACAGTTAAATCCAAAGGTTTTTTTGTCCATTTAGGTGGAGCTAAAAGCAAGTAATACACATATGTACTAAAATGTGTCGGTTCATACATTGATAGTACTAAACTAAGTATATTAAATTAGGATACTACGTAATCTAACGAAACTAATTTCGAGTTGTATGACTTTAAGCAAATATTTATAATAAAGAGAGATGCTTTGAGAAATGGATCAAGTATTTGTCTGTTGGGTTAATTGTCCATTGATGTCTGAATTGCGAAGCTTTAAGCAATAAACAGATTTCGAACATTAAGCATCGTAAACACAAATTATTAATCAGATAACTCACAGGCAAGGTTTTGCTGCTAATTAAAGATTAAATTTTGATACAGAAATGGCCTACTAATGATTCAGTCTCTGAAATCTGTTAACAATTGTAAGCAGTCCTAGATTCTGATGTTGATGGTTCTGCATGAGAATTTAGTAATTTTTTTTAAATTTTTAATCCAACGTAAATAAAAGCCGCTTCTCTTTGTAAGGTCCTCCACTAATATTTGGAATAGATTACTTTGATTATTGTAAAACATACTAAAACGTACTCTGCCTAAGAGGAATGAATGGTTCATGTTTTTAAGGGGATATGGCCGGTATTTATGACAGTGTCTAAAAACGCCATTACCTATCCTTTATTTTTGCAACCGCTGGTTGTGGATATATACTTCTAGTTATAAAATTGTTTTAAATGGTCCGACAATTCATGTTTAGACATTTTTAATTAAAAACATAATTCTACATAAAATACGAAATCTAACCTTCTACACGTTCTTCCGGTTTCTGCAATTATTATTCTGCACCTATATTACATGCATATAGGAAATTTTCGAACTCGTTAGAAAAAATGAAAACAAAAAGTTTGACTTCCGCACGACAAAAATTGAGTGAAATATTTGATATTAAAATTGAGAAACATATTCAGACGCCGTACGCAAATTGAAGAGAAAAATGTTTGTACATAGGTTGTTTTTTTTTCAACCTATGATCGAACAGTAATGATGGCCAGGTATGCGGCAGGTGGTTGGTGTGCGTAGTAGGCGACTGCGCATCTCCCCCTCCACGTGCTCTGTCACTGGCGTATTCAACACGCCATTTTCTGTTGAGTTGCAGTCACGTAAACATGGCTGTCGCTATTGATTCTCCCGCCAAGTGTCAATTGCGAGCTGTTATTCGTTTCTTGCAGACAGAAGGGAACAGTGTACGAGAAATTCATCGAAGAATGAGTCGAGTGTATGGAAACAGCTTTATGAGTGATGGCGTTGTTCGTGAATGATGTCGAAAGTTTAAAGATGGCTGAACTGATGTGCATGATGAAGGGGGGTCAAGGACGCAAGTCTGTCGCTACAGACGACATTGTTCAACAAGTTGACCAAGCGGTTAAGCAAAATAGAAGGTTCACGATAAGTGAATTATCGATGAAATTTCCGGAAGTTTCAAGATCTTCCCTGTACTCTATCGTTACTGAACAGTTGCGCTACAGAAAAGTTTGCGCTCGCTGGGTCCCACAGATGTTGACTGACGACCACAAAACTCGCCGAATGGTTGCAGCGTTTGAGTTTCTTAACCGTTACAATACTGGAGTTTTTGAAATCCATTGTGACAGGTGATGAGACATGGGTTCAATATGACACGCCCGAAACGAAACGACAATCACAACTATGGATGCACACAAATTCTCCAAAGAGATCCACAAAATTCAAACGAAACTTTAACAACCATAAGGCAACTGTTCTTTGGGACCAAAAAGGTGTGTTGCTTGTGGGAGTTTATGCAGCCTGGAAACAACAATTAATGCAGATTCATATTATAAAACTTTGCGACGCTTACGGAGAGCTATTCAAAACAAACGAAGAGGCATGCTGACTTCTGGAAATGTTCTGATCCAGGACAATGCCCGTCCTCACAGCGCTCGTGTAACGCAACGGCTCCTTCAGCAATTTCAATGGGACATTTTCGAACCTCCACCATATATTCCTGACCTAGCGCCGAGTGACTTTCCTCTGTTCCCTGAATTGAAGCAGTGGCTTGGCGGGAAGCGCTTCCAAAATGACGTGGAGCTGAAAGAAACCGTCACAATTCATATCCAATGATTGGCGGGGACATTTTATGAAGAGGGTATTGCAAAGCTTGTTCACAGATATGACAAATGCCTCAATCTTCAAGGTTATTACGTAGAGAAATAACCTGTATTGTACATTACTTTTGGTAATAAAATCTTTTGTGTATATTCACCCGTCTTTTCTTTATAGCCCATCGGAGGTTGAAAAAAAATAGCCCTCGTATTTGCACATATGTAAAACATTATCGTTTAGACAAGGGCATTTGATAGCAAGAGATTACTTGACAAGCATTTCTCTGCATATTATTGTGAAAAAACATCAATCAATATATATTTTTCTTTTCATAATGGATATCTTATTTACAGATTCTTATAAAATTTGTTTTTTCAAAAATACCAGAAGGCTTCAGTACTAACACGTAGTCAACTCGTATTATTATTTCCTGTAATTAAAAATAAAAATATTTGTCCTTTAATGATTTTTTACATTTACCAGAGCATGATTCTGAAATAAAGGAACTTTATGAGAATATTAATAACGCTGTTTTAGACTTCGATAATTGATAAATTATTTGTGTGAAAATTCTTTCAGCGTACGAAATATCAAAATTATAAATTAAATACACTGCTAGAAATCACACGACAGTACCATTGAATGGTATTTAAGGGAAGAAAAATAAATCAGAATTATTCGAATTTATTTATTAATCGACTTGCAAATTGAATATCATGTCAAAAGTCGCAAATTTGAAATTAAATTTCTCAGTCAACTTTTACCGAATAGGAATAATTTTTTTATTTTGCATTATTTTCATCATTTAAAACAAACTTGTAACTCGAAGTATGTATATGTCTACGACCAACTGTTGTGAAAATAAAGACGGTTTAAGGACTTTTGTGAACACTGCAAATAAAACAAAAATCTTCCTTCGCAAAAGGCAACCAATTCCTTAAGCAATGTAAACTATTTCGTTTGACTCATATGGTGTAAGGAATTTTCTTCTTCCTCACTAGGTGCCTTCATATTATAATTCTAGACACGTCCGGCTAGCAATCGAAAAATCCGGATTTCGGATTCCAGGGAGGGTTTAGCTGATTTCTTGGCTTCAAAAAAAATTCTAAAAGTCTGTACGTAGCGGTATAGCACCTGAGTCAAAATATAGTGGATGATAATTCGTTATCACACGGATTGCTCCCTTTGTAGTCACAGCTTCAATGAGAAAGAATATAAGGAGTTTTCTCCTTGACCACTTCATCATGTAACTGGATGCACGTCCGGCTAGCAGTCGGAAGGTCCAGAGTATCATGTGCAGTGCTTCATTTATGTACAGTATATATTTCACCTACTGCATCTGTATTTTAGTGTTAAACAGTGTTTTAATAAGTTACAATGACCTTTTCCTTAGGGAAGGATTAAATAGATATTTTTTTTTATTTCTCACTGAAAACGCTCATTTGCAGTACGTCCAAGAATATAGAGCAGATTAATGATGTATACTGAGGCAGTATTGTACTTTCATTCTTTTAAATTGCAGATGAATCACGTTGTCCACCGTTCAATGGGACATATATATTTTCAAATTCGATATAGATTATCTTCCCAAGTTCATATGACAGGGCTTCGCCATGTTATAAATGTGTTTGTTTTATAATATCACAAACAATAACTCATGTTTTTCTGATTCCCGACTGCTTTTATTACACAAATCGACGAAGACGATAATAATACAAGTGTGAGTATTTATTCATAACAGCGTATAGGTAGTTTTATAAATATATATATATATTATACATAATTCCATATGAATAAATTTACAACAAAACACTCAGTTTCTTTTGTACTCTGAAACATACTCACATACAACATTCAACTGTGCGGTGAAAAGAGAATTTCCATAATCATTTTCTGCCACACAAGTGTAGTTTCCGCTAGATGAAAAGCTCACCGGATTTATGATTATGACAGAAAATTCTTTGTCTATTTTAATCACAACGTTTGAAGCAGTAGATAAATCTTTGCCATCTTTCAACCAGGAAAAGACCTTTGGAGAACCCGATGAACCAGCAAAACAAAGTGCAGAAATTTGATCACCAACAAGAACACGGGATGGGAAATAAAAGTTGCTAATCTTTGGTGCCTCTAAATATGAATGAAATAAAATAATTAATTAAAAATAGAAGCATATCTTCATTGTATGAACTGACAAAAATATTCATATTCGACCAAGTAACATAATGAAAACTAGACAAAATAAATAAATCAATAAAAACCTTTGAAATGATACTGATTAAATATATATATCATAGGCTATGTATAATAGATAATTTTGGATAGAAGATATATTTCTTAGAGACAAAGTTATCAAAAAAATAAATCACATTTATCAGAATAAATCTATAAGTATGTTAACGCATGTGAAAAATAGAAGTAATCAGTCTCATTTCTAACATCTCATTTCCTATGCGTTCATTTCAGTTGGCGATTGATATAAATTAAACACTGCATTAATTAAAATGAAAATCTTTTATTTACCGCTTGTGTGAAGAGCTTAATTGACCTCCTCCTAATGCTGAAGCTGGTTCTCGTTATAAGTAATCTTTTATTTGTAAGGTAAAAGTAGTCTGGATTGGCTAATTGTGGCAAAACACTTAAACGGTATCTATCTGAAGACAGATCTTGATGCATAATTTTTGAAATTTCAAGTTATTATCTTTTGACCGTGTACTGACTACTTAGACGATCTTAGAGAAACAGATTCGTATAGAGTAACACATGGAAAAATCATGCTGCTAATCCAGTTCACCTGGAAATTAAGCTAGTAATCTTGGCTTCATTTATCAAAACACTATGAGTTTTAAACGAAGGAAATATTTTAAAGTTGCTCAAAAGTTGTATTTTACATTATTTCTACTATTACGTTTGGCATAGCTATTATATTTGCATAGAGATGTCTTCTTTTCAGTGGCCACTGTGAAAAACACTCAGCATTTCCACGATTAATCTCCAAACTAAATTATTTATTTTGTCTGTTTCCATAAATTTACATGCATTAAGACGATGTATGAATTATTGAAGGAAGTAAGAAAGCAAACTGTTTAAAATTATAATCTAATTTGTACCATATGAGAAAAAAAATCTCATGATTGGAAAAGAGCCGTCATGCCTATTGCGTGTTAATATGTTACGAAGGTATTTTGCGTGTTAATATGTTACTAAGGAACTCCAGTCAACAGTTATTTGATGCATTTTAGTTGTTTAGTACACAATTTGATGCGCGTGTTTTTCGCTTCCAAAAGGTAAATAAACCACAATGCTATAAGAAATGCTAGAGAGAAGCCAAAGAAACAATTTTCCATACGAAATACTACTAGTTACGAGGTTACTTGTACATTCATCCATTCAAGCTTGCATAAGGCTCGCCTTTAGTTGCTCATCTCAGGCAGGGGTTGTTGGATTCGCAAGGCTCAACGAACCACGCAAGGTGTAGAGCCATAGAATTGAAGGACTAGCCATCGCTCCAGCCTACACGAGTGCCGAAGCCACCTACCTTTCAGAACAGAATTGACTGCCCCTTCCGGCACCAGAAACTGGGTCTGCTATTTATCCCCCGGTGGCGAGACTACCAAGGTACGAGCTAATACAATAAACCACTGCCGAGGAGCCATACGAAATACGAATGATTTCTTCAAAAAAAAAAAAAAAACTTTGACACTGCCTTTTCCAGGGTTTCTGTCATTGATATATAGATGTACTTTATGTCATTTCAGCAGATTTTATTATGCCTTTTCTTGAAAGAATATTGTGCATGGTTTGGCTTCGACTTGAAGCATACGTGGTAGAATTAATGTCAGTACATAGGAAATAGAAACCTTACTGAAGTATGTCTTTTACAGTAACTGCAGATATAAGGTCGCAAGAAACTATAAGTAAAAAATAAGGAATTTTGTTACATTCTAAGGGGTGCATAGGGACAAAGACTGAGGACCCATGTGCTACAAAAACATTTCATGTAACTGGCATTGATATGCAGACTATTGCAAAAATTTAGATCATATAAAAGTTTCAACACGAGATTTTAATTTTAGCCCAAAATAAAAATGGCAAGCATCCCCTACAAAAGAGCTTTCTGAAGGAAACAAAATACGCAGAATGTTTTTGGGAAATGGTAAGAAAAATAAAAAATGAAACGACATTTTTATTTTGATAATAAGTAATCAAAAGCTGCATTTTAGAAATTAATGAAACTAACCTCTTAGCTAAAGGAAGATCAAAAATTAAAACAGCAAAAATCAATTTTACATTATTCTACTTTGAGTATTACCATAGTGACTCGAAACAGGAAATAAACAATATACAAAATATAGTTTATGTTACTAATTAAATTAAAACAGACACCTTTTTAACTCAAAGAAAAATCATAAAATGAAAAATCCTAATACAAAACATAAGTTCCACAAGTTTCAAAAGTTTAATAAAATACTTGCCTGAAATGCTGGCCCTGAGCTGCATAATTGTATCTCTAAAATAAAGTGTTCTTCAACTCTTTATAACATAATTTCTGCTACATACGCAGTCGCGACTAGCGTAGATTTGAGCAGGTTTGTACGACTTGTGTTTAAAAAAAAACAGATAAATAATCTAGTGCATTTAATTCTTTAATTCTATAGGAAGAGTATCTCCACTATCCCTCATGTCCAATAATAGAAGTTAAAATTCATAGTGTGTGGCAGTCCGAGTTTATATTCTAGTGCACTGTTATACTGAAATCACGTAAGTTCACAGATGTTTCAGTGAGACAGTAGGAAACCAGATAACTCACTTAAAATATTCAATATTTAAAATATCCTTCTCGCCAGTTAGAATTTCAAAAAATGAATGGCCCAGTCAGCGTTTCATTATATATGCGACACTATAAACATTTATACTCCAATGCACCTGACGTTTGTTGAGACGCGTAAAGTGTAGATTTTCCGAAGCCAATAAATGATTATTATAAAACTAGAAAGACCGGCGGTAATACGAAATGACCGCTGTTCTAGATATTATAAATTGTAATTAAAATGATTTATGCAAAGATGTCTGCTAATTCAAACTGAATTACCCAAGGTAGGCGGCGAGGACGCCCCTTTGCTTGCTGCCCCACTAGGTTTTCCCTTTCTACTTGCTTAATTGTTTAAAGTAGCGTGCATTGAAGGAAACCACTTGCGGTACATTTCTTAAGAACCACCGCTTGCTCAATAAATAAAGGTGATTTAAAAAAATAAAATGTTAATTCACATGTCAAAGATCTCTTTGTACACATTTTTTGTGTAGATCTTTCCATCCTTTTTAAGCTCGCCTTGCAGAGGATCATCCATTATTTTTAATTTTACGTGCATTATTTCATGAACTCTTGAACAGGCAACATAAAGTTGACTGTGTCCAAATGCATGCTCAGGTAAAAAAATGCCAACACGCTTAAGCGTTTGGCTATGAGACTTATTGATGGTCATAGCAAAGGCAAGTTTTACAAGTGTTACAGGTCATAGCAAAGGCAAGTCTACGTCTCAAATGAAACGGCAACCATGTGCCGTGGCACCTTCACCCCATTGGCTAGTACATACATTGGCTAGTACATACATTGGCTAGTACATACATAACCCATTGGCTAGTACTACAGTTGCGCAAGCACTTCTTCACTGACTTCCGTAGCGATGGGCCCGGGCTCGAACACCAAAGAAGGCTTGGTTGTAGGCGTCTATGACTCCACAATTCTAATAATGAAATGGCCACCACTTCCGCCCCTTGTAGTGGCACAAAGCTAATGGATATTAAATAAAGCACCTGGCTATTAAAAAAACGTTTTGTATTCATTTAACAAGTTGACTAGATTTTCGATAAAATTAGATAATGGTAAACAGGGTTGTTGCGCCTGCGTGCGCATCTAATTACTAACGTCTTCGCATGCGCTTTGAGCTCTTAGAGTTTGTGACATGAGATTGTGAGCTAAGAGCATGTGAGAGAACTCATGGCTTCGTGTGGCCATGAACGATGTAAATTAATGAGAATAAAAGTGTGATATAATACAGTCCATTGTTCCCGAGTTTATTATAGTGTCTGTGCAAAACATCGTGGTCCGTCCTGGGCCAGAGATCTATGGAATATGAGTTAATTACAAGTAACGAGTAAGTCAGCAGTTTCGATTTAAAAATAAAGTGTCACTTTATTATTTTGAGATGCTGTATAACAGTTTGAGGAAATTAATAGTATTTAGATACTGTGTTTAAGTATTTGAGAACAATTACTTATTATCTTGTGTTAATTTATTAAGAGTACAATGTTGATAAAATGTACACTCAAAGACGATTTAAAGCTATTAGCTTTAGAACTGAATATAGAATTAAGTTAAAGATAACTGTTACAGATTTAAATCTAGCGATTAAAAGTAGGGAAGCTTATAAATCTGATTCAAATTCGGTAATAGAGTTGGGTAATTCTATAGTAGAGCATCGTAAATCTGAAGAAGCTAAAGTATTACAGTTAGAACAAATTAAATTAGAGAGAAGTAAAACAGAACTGGAAATTGCTCAACTACGAGCTAAAAACAAAATTGATAACAATGGGCAAAACGAAATAAAAGGAGAAAGTTCCGATTCCTTAGAGTCCCTTATTAAAAGTATAAGAACACTAACATTGAAGGTTCCAAGTAAACCTGAAAATTGGAGTTGTTTTAGAACGAGTTGTTTTAGAATCTTTAGACCAGTTTTCACGACAAAAAATGTGCCTGAGAAATCTAAAGCGGAAATATTGTTAAACTTGTCAGGGCAACGGGCTTCGAACATTATCGTTTATATTAGAGATGAGGAGCTAAGTGACTATGAAAAAGTAAAAGCTTTTCTTCTAAAAGGATTCGAACCTACACCACAAATTGTTTTAAAAAGACTCAACGCCTAAATGAGTCCTATGTGCAATTGGTGTCGTGATTAACAACAAATTTTGAATATTACTTAAAATTGAGGAAAGTGTCTGATTTTTGAAACAGTTAATAATATCAGAAAAATTGTTTGAGACATTAGATCGAGAAATGTCTGCCCATATTTCTGTAAGGCAAGCTGAAAGTTGGTTTCCGCCTCAACAAATGGCAAAGGAAGCAGATTTAT